GGAGTGAGAATCGAGTGTATGTACTATGAACCGCAAATGGTTCCTCGCCTCACTGATAGCTTGTAGAATTTTGGATATTTTCTCATCACCTTCTTGCGAACACACAATGCAGTGGCCCTGTGTTGTTGGTTTGACGTTAACAGGCCGCTCCTGGAGTCGATGGCGTGGCTGTGAAGGAAGAGAAGCAGGAGGAGCAGCAGCACGTAGAGGAGGTAGGCTAGCGTGCGTGCGCGTGTGTTGTGTGTAGATTTACGCGTTGATGCCTGGCGCATCAAATTGCTAGCGGTTGAGAACGCGTGCTGTTACCCCACCCGCGGATGAGTAATGGACTTTGCAGCATGGTCAGTACGACCTGCGGTAAATGTGGCCAATTTTCTGTACAGGTACATCCATCCCATTCAATCCGACATACATCATGGCGAAGGCCCCTCATATTCTTAGATATTTTGTGGGCTCTGTCGTCTTCGTACCCAAGTCTATTTCCTCTTTGTCTCTTCCGCACGAACAAGCGGTGCTAGTAATGTCTACGTCGTCATGGTCAGATACTCGGGATGACTGAATTGTATTTGATGTTGAGGTGCGCATATTTTCCTTGTGCCTCCGGAGTCATCCTTCGGGGGATGGTGTTTGCAGCATCAACGAGACCCATTCTTTGCAGTTGTCGGATGACTCGCTACAGGCAAGGCCAGGCAGGCGCAAGTTTGGAGGGATAGCCAAGGCCCTACGCAGGCACACCGGCTGGACAGCTGGCAGCCCACACGCTGAAAGGTGAAGGGTAGTGCGAAACTTGTGGTTGAGCGTAGCTGCTGCGTTATATTAAAGATGAAGAGCTCGTATCTGTGATCCCTCAAGGCTTCAGTTTCAGGTTCTCTTTGGGCAGTGTTTCCAAGCCAGCAACGCTTCATTTTCGACGATTTTCCGCCCAACATCTACGTCCCCGCTAACAAACTGGCAAGTCAATCTCCCTGAGGTGTCCATTTCGAAAGTCAGTATTGTGACCATCTCTCAAGGGGGTGCCTAGTGCCGCCTCCGTCTAGACTGCAGTACGGACATTGAATTTGGATGAGAGGAATCCGCAATTGATTTTGTCTCGGACGGCAACACGCTCCTGACATCTCGGTCGGAACACGATACGAAGCAGGCTCTGTCGCATCTCGCAACGCGACATACGTTTGCTCACAGCAAACACGCACACAACCATACATCTGAACGCAAGTGCGCTGCTACACGAACCAGTACCCCCCATCTGTGCGCAGTAGACCTCAAGTGTCACGCACACCCGCAATGGAGCCTGAAGGCTAGAGAGCGCTCTATCGAGTGGTTTATACGGTGGAGGTGATTAGCGCGATCGATGGCATCTAATTATTCACAGGTGCACACCCACAGCCGACGGCGTGGGCGATATCGGTTTTTCACACATTGGTATGGTTCCCTGGGTAGGTGTTGCACCCACCCATGTTTTCATCAACCCTGCTGCACACATCATACGTATTCGCAGATTTCGCTCTCGCCTTCGGGTGTTTTTTGTGGTCCCAAGTCATCTCAAAGGGAGGTTGCAATTGCAACCGAAAATCCTAGTGTTGGTGGGAAACTGTCGCTAACCAGGTTGACTCGTTTGGACGAATCTCGCTGACCGAATGTTCGCCCAAGCTGGCTCAATAATTCACAACCCTAACCCTAAGGTACAAGGCTCCCCTTCGGGAGCTAGGTGGCTTGCCTCCCAGGGGCGACGCAAGAGGACATGGTGAAGATCATCACGGTCGCATCGTAGCATCTCAACGTCATGACGTTCGGGTTGTGAGTGCCATCTTTACCGACCTGAGCGTGTCAATCTGTCCAGCTTTATTTATTGTCCCGAGCGAAGACTTTTTAGTCGCGCGTGAGCCTGAACTTTGCGGAGTTTGCCCGATGTTTGGTTGCTACAGCGTTCCAAAAATTGAGTAATCTTGTCGTCTCAGAGGTCACCTATGCTTACCTCTTTTTGCTGCCCTGCCCGTCGGTAGAAAAGAAGCAAAACCTTTATCGCGAAAGAAAGCCTACCATATCCTGCTTCTGAAACGCACTCACACGCACAGACACGTACTCCACAGCAAGCAGCAGCCCACCGTTGCATGCAGACTGGCCCATTTTCACCACAACATATGCATAGCATCGATGAGAACTGCCTCAGCAGCAATGTACGATGGAAAGCAGATCGATTCGACCTGAATGAAAAAAGAACCATCTAGTAGAAGCTTCTATTTCGGCTGGCATCACACTGCCTTCCCAGTGCAATGGCTAGAACAGACTCAAATACGTCCTGTATCCAGCAGGTGCCCCTCAACCGTCAGTGTAGGACATCAAATCCCCCCTTCGAACGGCGTACTTTCTCGATCGGGTGGTCATTCCGTGCTGGCATGTTCTTGGAAAGAGGTAACGAACTCTCGTAGTTGGGTAGCGAAGCAAACTGTAAAGCCATAAAGCGGCACGCAGTGCAGTTGTATGGACCTCCAGGCAACCATACATGGATTGGCGCTTGCCTATGCTATACCATGGCATTCCTTTTTGCGCAACCAATGTGATGTCTGGCGTTCGAGCTCGTCTCTTGTGTGATACTGCTTGGGTTCCGCATACAAGGCACACACATGGAACACTCCGGGTACTATGAATCCCGAGACTTGGCCCGGACGTCCAGTCGTGTCGTCGGCGATTCGATCGAGAATCTTGCTGACCTTGTCATGTTCACGATAGTTTGCAGCGTTGACTAGTGCACTCTCATTGGTCGACGGGTTCCAGTTAATGGTAATCAAACCAATACACACGCTTTCCTGTGGGGGCCTGTTAGAATATGTTACAGGGATTTTCGTCCTGCGAACACCGACGATATGTCTTTGATCCACGGTGCGCGGTCGATACCAGCAGAAACGATAGAGAAAAAGCGACAGCTCACGCGTTCCTTCTACGCGTTCGTACCCATGAGTCACCGCCACGCGCGGGCTGGTGTTGGACGATTACTTTTTCTGAGACCAATGCCAACTCTCTCCCCTCTATCCCAGAAGACAAGAACCAATTTTAGCTAACGGAGCCGATCCCTCAAACCCCAGCTGCACGTTGGCTGCATGTTGGAAGAGTTGAACCGGGCCTTTTTTGTGAAGCACCAGCTGCTCATAGACGTTCTCCCCCCCTCTACATCTGGCCTGGGGTAAAGACGGGCGAAGCCAGAAGGACCCATGGCCTACACCTGGCCATTTGTGTTCTCGCTGTCGTTTTACCATCTCGACGGAAGCACAATGTCATTGTACCACGCTAGGTTTGAGTGCTTTCCAACGACAAACCTGAAGATGGCCTGCACTCTACACATCATGTACACACAGTCTGTTTGCACTTTCCCCAGTGCCCTGACCCATGTTGTCATAAAACGATCTCGTTTGTATATACAATCACGAGCCGTCTATCCCCCCCCGGTGTGTTTCTTCCCTCTCACTTCCTTATCGTGTTTGATCGTCAGCACCACAAGAGGGCCATCGAAGCGCCAACGGAAGGACTCCGCGCCAAGAACAAACGAGCGACGCGGGGACGGCGGGGCGGCGGCAACACATGAGACGGCGAGTTTGTTGGAAGATTCGCCATTTCTATGTGAACGAATGATGATTATTGAGACCATGTTTGCTTTGTTTAGGTTGTGTTACACATCACTCACACGTTGCGAGCTGTCCCGACGTCTGACGGTTGGTAGCAGGTAGGTGGTAGGGTCAGGGTCGAGAGGTTTCCTACTGGGAAACGTATCAGTAGTGCACAACTGGCGGTATCGAGCACCGACGAAAAATGGTACATATTTTTGAAGTGCAGAGCATCTGAGAGGAAATGGTCACACTTGTCACCATAACGAGGCTACACAAGTGTATGGCGACGTGTGGCCCTACGCTCCATAAACATACTCTTGAAATATTTATACAATACTTCGATTTTGTTGGGTTGGACTGTGTTCGAGTAAAGGCAAGGGGGTTAAACGCCGACTTTGTACGAATGCTGGTTTCATTCCTCGTAGTTGAGAAGCTATCACTACGCACTTTCTCTTAACGGCCACGAGATGCTGGATGCCAGCAGCGCAGTTTTGAAGCATCTCCACGCATTTTGTTTGGGAAGCGTGTTCCCCATGGTGAGCGTGCCCCATGAAACTACACGAAGATGTGCTCGGAGGCCAGTACAAGGCTCACGTTGATCGCTCTACTACCTGATCTCGAAAAAACGAAACCATTACGCATCTTGTTGGGCACAGCCACGTTGCCAGCTTTCGATTTCACTGAGGCCTATTAGAGCAACGGGTAGCAGGGTGCGTTTCGAGTGGATGTAAAAAAATGAGCAGCGCGGTCTCCCACACCTCGAAGAAGCCCGGTTCTCCAGGCTGGTTCAGAAACATATGGCACGCCTTGGAAGACTTCTGTTCGAAACCAAAATTCGGCGGGTTGTCGAGGAAACGCCGCTTGAAACTCCGACTGTACCCAAAACAAATAAAGACGAAAGCGACGAGCCAGGGGCATTGTCGGTCGCGTTTTCCTTGAGAGACAACCTATACCACGCAGCATGGATCGGTTATCCCGTGAGCTTGAACAGCGAAGAGCGTGGGCCTCACGAAGAATGTAGTTTTACATGCATTGGTGGTGGGAAAACGACGGCTGATTCAACCCCGACCAAAAGCATAGCGTTGTCTTACACGTCTGACCAATCTAGAAATGATGGGACACCCCACCGCTGTTGTGGAATGTATTGGATTTCCTCTCGCTGCTGCCTGATGTCACCCGCTCAAATTGGTTTTGAGAAACGACCTGCTCAACACTGGAATGTGAGTTGTGCTCGATCATGGTTTGCACCGTACTCTTCTGCAGTCAACGCGTACGACCGCCAGACGCAATGGACAGAAACGAGCATGCTGCCAGGAGCTCGACTGCACAACACGGCCATCGTTCGGCGAATACGGGAGCAAGAAGGCTGAGTTCTGCTCAAAGCACTCCAAGCCGGCCATGGTTAACGTCGTCGACAAGAAGTGCTGCCACCCAGAGTGCCTAAAGTACCCGTCATATGGCACAGACGGGAGCAAGAAGGCGGAATTCTGTGCCAAACACGCCAAACCGGCCATGGTTAACGTCGTCGCCAAGAGGTGTGGCCACTCAGGGTGCATCACGAAGCCGAGATTTGGCACAGAGGGGGGCAAGGCGCAATTCTGCTTTCAGCACAGGTCGCCGGGTATGGTGAACGTCGTCAGCAAGAGATGTGGCCATGCAGGGTGCGTCACGCAGCCATCGTTCGGTACAGACGGCAGCAAGAAGGCGGAGTTCTGTGCGAAGCACGCCAAGGAAGACATGGTTAACGTCGTCGACAAGAAGTGCGGCCACCCAGAGTGCCTCAAGTACCCGTCATATGGCACAGAAGGGAGCAAGAAGGCGGAATTCTGTGCCAAACACGCCAAGCCGGCCATGGTAAACGTCGTCGCCAAGAGGTGTGGCTACCCGGGGTGCGTCACGCATCCATCATACGGAACAGCCAACGGCAAGAAGGCGGAGTTCTGTGCGAAGCACGCCAAGGAAGACATGGTTAGCGTTCACGGATACAAGAAATGCGGCCACCCAGGGTGCATCAAGCAGTCGTTCTTCGGTATGGCCGACAGCAAGAAGCCGGAGCTCTGTTCGCAGCACGCCAAGGCGGACATGGTGAACGTCGTTCGCAAGATATGTATCCGCCCAGGGTGCAACAAGTACACGTCAATTGGTGCAGACGGCCCCACCAAGAAGAAGGCGGAGTTCTGCCCAAAGCACACTAGGGGAAGAAAGAAACGCCCTCGGGGGCGGCCGAAGAAGAAGTCGTAGCGTGGGGTTTTGTTTACCGTGCACACTTTGATGCCTCTACGCGTGTCGTGCAACATGTAGTCTCTATCATTGGTAAGTCTATGATGTTTCAGCGTGTAAATGGCTAACACCTCACATCGGGTTCCATGAACATTGCCACGGTTTGGACGGCCGCTCCGGTGTTTTACTCGTATAACCGTATCGTTTGATAGATGTTAAAACCAATCATCGTTGACTTGATGCCACGATGCAAATTCTTTACAATGTATTTGGGAGTAAATGAGAGGAATGGGAATGCATTGCGCCACCCGGATGTATGGCAATATTGATCAGAACGATGGCCTGCGTTTGCCAGAGTGCCGTGGTTGGACGGACAAGTACGGCGTGCATCTCTCTTTTCGGCTTCGGGAGAAGAGAGTCGAAGGGTTTCTTGGGCACAACGACCCTCTGTGCGCAAAGCGCTCCTCCTCCTCCTGCTGCTGCTGCTCTCCCGCTGGGTGATTGCAATGACCGAAGTCTGAGGGTGTGGAGTAGTAGCAGGGGATGGGGCGGAGAGAGATGAGGTTTGAGGTGTGCGGTAGGGCTGGTCTCCAATCCGCCTAGGTCAGCAGGGCAGTTTCTGTAACATATCGTTATTGTTGATTCTACATAGGCTGTTGATCTGTTTTCCATGAATCCGAGGTTGGTGATCTGAGAGAGAGTTGGAGAGAGTGACCAAGAATCGACTCAGTGCACACCGTTCCGTATCTCTCTGCCGCTGGCGCCTTGCTTAGGTGGCCGCGCTCTTCATGTACACCTGTTGCCCACACTGGCTGTGGCGCTGCACGAGAGCTCTCTGGCCCCAGCAACAGCAACAGCAGCAGCAGTAAATACCGCTCATTTCAGAGGGCATATGCAGATAATTTTATGTATGTCTTCCTCCTTCTCTCTCTCGATGCCAAACGCGGCTGGCTGTTGCCCGTACATCAGCAACCGCCGTATCCACATTTCCCACAGACTATGGTACTTGTGATGAGCCGCGGAGCGCGAAGCGCAACCGTTCGTTTCCCTCTATCCCAGGAGGGGGAAAAAACAGGCTCTAAATATATCGGCCTGTTCCAACGCAATGCAGGGACCCAAAGCTTGATTTCCGGGAAGCCCAAGCAACCCACGTTTGGGACCAGAACGAGGCCTATACAGGTCGTTCGACACTGTGTTGTCACATTGAAAAATCATACACTCTGCAATTGCGGTCTTTTGGGGGGGTGGCGTGCTTCACAAAAGTGCTGTACTGACCGCGCCCTGCTGTGGCTGTAAACGTTGTAGTGATGTTCGCCCTTGTACCAATAAACTGTTCATGTTTCGAAAACCTCTCTCAGGAGAATGCCGGGTGCAGGCAACAGCGGCGGTGCGGACCAAGGTGGGAAAAGGCTCTGCGCGAAAACTCATTATGGCTAGGGCAGTGTGGCGAAATGCCACGTGGTTGAAGGTTGATTGGAAACCCGAAGTGTTGTGAGTTTTTTCTGCCATATGACCTGCATGATCCCCTGAGAATTTTCAGCATCATTCCAATCGATGGCGTTTTTTTTCACATTTCGTATTACGTTTCATGCAGGCGCGATGTCATTATCTGGTTCAGAAGTCATGGATGGCGAATTTACCGTGGAGATCAAGGTGAGCCGTTCTTGGAAGTGGGTGTTAGGCGCTTCCGGCAGCATGTGGCGCCCGAAATATGGTGCAATCATGCCCCTGGCACATCTACCACGTACGGATCGGAGGGCAAACGGGACACCAAGCATGGAGTTTCTCCACCCGCCTTCTTCTTCACTTTCGTACCTGCACATTCACGACCGTCATGCTTCCGTACTGCAGGCCGACGAGTCAGAGATATCCACACATGATGGCGAGGGTAACGACACACCTCTCACCGTCGAAGTGATGCAGGGGGCTGGAAGAACCTATCAGGAGCCTGAGGTGGGTGTGCACCAACTTGACCACCGTGCCGCCGCGGGGTCTAGGCTCGTGCAGTCATCCTTACGCGCTTGTAGCAATAGACGTTTTGTTCGACCAGCCGAGTGTAACCGACGTCTTCACGGTACCGCTCGAATACGTTGTTGCTACATCACTCACTGTTCGTGGAAACATTGGGTCCTGCCATGCACATGTACAAGGTAGAGGCTGCCAAGTGATGGCCGTTAGAGGGGTGGTTTTACTGGATGCAGTTCACTATGTTCCCACAAATTATATTATGGCTGTTGAACGAATATTGATTACGACCGTGGCAAGGCCTCCCAGTGGAGTTTCGCTAGCACGGCGTGCGTACAGCCCACCAATGGTTGTATCATCGATTCGGCCCGTTTGATTGCCTCCAGCGTGTTTGATCGCGGTACATCTTTCTCTCGCCCCTTTCGATTGCACGATGCTCTGTCCCCGGCCGGTTGGTTGTCGTCAAACGGCCACCCCCGGGATAGGCAGCAGGAAGTAGGAGGAAGAGGAGGAGGAACAAGAAGAGGAGGAGGAAGAAGAGGAGGAAGAGGAGGAGGAGGAGGAGGAGGAGGAGGAAGAGGAGGAGGAAGTGGAGGAGGAGGATGAACACGAGGACCAAGAGGCAAAGGTAGGCCAGCAACCGTAAGGGGTTGTTTGCCCTGAGTGTAGAGTAGTCACCGTTGACGTCGGAGAAACCTAGACCCTCACCGTGGAAGCGCATACGTTCTTCAGCTGCCGGTGACGCCCAATGGGGTTTGTAGCATCGCCACGAGAACCGGTTTCGAAGATTTCGGCGCCCACTATGTGTGCGCCCATGAACCAGGGTCACGTCGTTCCGTGCAGGTCAATATGAGGTACACTTGACGGCAATAGCGATTCTCCATTTCCTCGAATGCGTTGTTAATGCTGTCTGAGAGGTTCGTGTTTACGTCTCGTTTGTCACTTTCTCATCAATGCGCACCCCCAGGCGGTTTCAGAACCAGTGATTGTGTCGGGATTGTGCTGGGGACCCAATTCTACGATATGTTCATGTTGCCCGTGTTGGATGTTCTGGATTCCTGAGTTCCCTCAGATTCAGCTCATACGAAGAATATTTTTGCGATAGAGAGCTTCCAGCATCAACAAAGCCCTTGCTTAGCAAGTTTTTCTATGGGTTCCTGCAGGCAAGGCGAGGCAAGCGCAAGCTCAAGTACAACGTGAACGCTTCCAGGCGGCTGCCCGAAAGGCGGCAGCACCAATCCGCCGGAAGGTAGGTATTTTTGGGAAATGACAGTGTTTCTTGTGTTCCTGTTGCACATGGTATTTTCGGATAAGGATTTGTGATGCGGGAATTCGTACTATAATGGTACCTCGCTTCGGACGACAGCAAACACCATGTAGTTGGTTTCCATATTATTTTAAGCCTATGCGGCTATGGTGGCCCAAGGTTGGTGCGGCGATCAGGTGGATGATGTTTGAGCACAACTTGCTGCCGTAAAGTCCGTTTCAAACTTCATCAGCTGCCGTTGAACTCCTCCATGTTTTGCCGCCATCCGCCTGCATGGATTTTCTTTTAGTTTCCAGCCCACGAGAGATTCATCCAAGCGACGACGGGCGACGTCTGCTCCGGCAACATCTGAACAGAGCGGAGGAACTGGGTCGTCGGCACTATCCAAGTCGGCGAGTATGGTTATCGTTTCGTTATTGGTGTTCAAGAGTTGAACAGGTGATGCTTGGGGTGTGCTCTAGCATCATGTGTGCGTCTGTTGTACGAAGGTGAATCACATTATGCGTTGTTCCTACACAGCTGATGGTTCGTCTTGGCTTGATGCGGGAGCGGCATGGTCGGGGAGGGTTACTACAAGGCAACGTTACTACATGCGGTATCGAAGACCTACGAAAGTGGTGTCCGGTACGGAATCACAACAATGGAGAGTGTGAACCGACCAAGCGTAGGACTCTTGGGAGCCTCCGACAACGGTTTTTATCTTGGCTTGCGAGTGCCCCTGCCACATCTTCTGAAGTACTGGAGGATTGTAGTTTGGGAAGGGAAGTATTGGAGGATTGCAATTTGGGAAGGGACAACAGTAGCTGTATCCATCCCTTTCTCGAACAACAGTGTTGGCGCTAGAAACTTTGCTTCGCGGAGACTACTCTTGAGTGGGGGAACAACGCAATATCTCATTATGATGCCTAGACAACATGGTCACGGGGCATGCCCAGCATGGACATAAACGTTTACGAACTTTCGCGGTCATCTTCAACCCGCATACCGCCGAGGCGCACAAGTCCTCAAAGGTTGCCCGATTTTGTTCAAAACTCTGGTGGGTATGCGCACCGAAACCTATGTAACGTACTCAATTTCTGCCTGTTTTTGAGCCTTAAAAAACGTCCCTCGTCGATGACGTAGAGGTTGATTTTCGAGGCTCGAAAGGGGCAAGAATGGGCACGTTTCGGACAAGAGTGGGTCACAAAGCGGACAACAGTGAGAGAGGGTACATAAAAATAATAGGATAAGAGTAGCTTTCGGTGGGTAGGACTTCGGACAAAATCGAGCAACCGTTCAGGTCTTGTGCGCAGTGGCGGTGAGTGGGCTCAAGACGAGCCCCGAAGGTTCGGAAATTGTATGTCCACGATGTGTTTGGCCGTTGAACATGTTGCCCAGGCATCAGAATGAAATGTTGGGTGGTTCTGGCTTCCCACGAGTGGTCTCCGCGAAGAATATTTTGTACGGCGTTCGAATTCCAAATTGCAGCATGTACGTGCGGCACGTGACGACGACGGTGACGGCATTTCCCGCTACTTTGCTATCATGAGGTGTATTTGAATATCTCTTGCTGCTACTCGATGTTGCTCGCTTGCATATATATCCTCCCCGTGTCTTGAACCGTCCTGTTTCCACAGTCAAAGCGTAACACCGCCCGGCGCCGTGGACATGGACGGGTTATTTGCCGGGAACCCGGATGCACGACCCGATCAAATTTCGGCAAAAAGGGCAACAAGAAACCGGAGTTCTGCTCTCCGCACGCGAAGCCGAATATGATGGACGTCCGCAACAAGTTGTGCGATCATCCAGGCTACCCGAAGCACCCGTTATTCGGTATTATGGCACTAGGAAGCCGGAGCTCTGCGGTACACACCACAAGCAGGGCATGGTCGACGTGATCGGGAAGAAGTGCAACCACCCGGGGTGCATCAAGTTCCCGTCACATGGTAAAGACGGCAGCTACACTCGAGAGTTCTGCTCTTAACACGCGAAGAAAGGGATGGTCGTCATCAAAAGGTGTGTCCATCCAAGCTGCTCAAGGCATGCGGTCTTCGGCATGGTCGGCAGCAAAAAGCGCGACTTCTGCCAAAGCCACGCGAAGTCCGGAATAATAAGGTTTGGTCGTGCCAACTAGCAGGGGCCACAGATCGAGATATAGCTCGCCATTTGCTTTCATTCCGATGGAGAAAGATTTTGAGTGATGTGGAATTCACTATTTCTAAGGCTATGCCAGGTTCCTCACAATAAAATCATAATCCATATAAAGGGAATGGCGTTCTGCAAGCACAACGAAACAACTTCAACGTATTATGAGGGATAAGCTCGTATGTAGAGTTAGACGATCTAGAAAGGGGGGAAGTGAATAGACAGACAAAAATTGTCTTATTTTTCAATGTTTTCGGTCATAAGATCGGAATACCAAACGGTGTCCAATCTGAAACCTCTGCATGTTTTCGGCATAGGAGACCTCCAGGTGAACCAGCTTCATTTGCGTTCAATTTGTTTTTGATTGGGGTACACACGTGCAGAACGGCGTCGACACATGACGCGGTATTGGCTTTCTTTGGCGGTAGCGACTTTATTTGGCGGCGGCAGTTTGGTGTCATGGGGGTTGAATGTAGGGTGTACCTCAGGTAGAGCGGGCTAGTTCCGAAAGGAAAACGCGGGAGAAGGATAAGCCGGCTGAGGAATAGGGCCGGGGACATGATCTGTGTATGTATGTAGCCCCTTTTAAGATGGACTTGGTCCCGCCCCCGCTCTAGTGAATAGTCTAGTAAATAAAATACTTCTAAGGAAGGATGAAAACACTCCAAAAGGAACGCGTGTTCAAAGTAGCAAGCCTTGGCAGTCGCGTAGTTCTCCTCTCTCAGTTCCTGCCATTTCTGTCTTTTATCCAGAGAATAGCCCAGCCTCCTCCATGACACCCTCTCACGGCCTTGAGAAACAAATATTTTCTGTTTTTGACCGCACTGAGACTGACGTTTTTTGGTTGGCCAGTCGTTCTTCTTGCTCCTGAAGGCTTGGTCTTCTCTCTAGCTTTTTATCGAAGGAACAGGGGAGTTCGCTATCTTCTTCACCCCTTTTTTAGGTTGCATCTGCTTTTGTGTGCTCATGTAAGGAGCACTACATCCATCCATGTTTTACCTCCAAATGTACATCGGGTGCGTGCATGAGCGTCCTTCTTTCGCTGTGGAGGGGTGCCTTTGAGGTTGCCTGAATAGTACTACGGCCTTCTTGCAATGAAACACATAATAATTTAATAGCGAGGTGAACTATTATCGGGCAGCACGGTCTACGTTTGAAAGGCAGCAGCAACGTTTCACCAGCGAGTGCTTGCGCTGAGGTGTGGGAAGAGAACAACTGCTGTGCAACAAATCTATCTGGTCAACCAAATTAATTTTAATGTGACCAATGCCGTGTTTTCGACAGTCCAAGATCTCACGAAACTTATTGAAGCCCGCCCACGTCGCCCACCTCACGATTGATCCAAGTACCGTTCGTTTTGTACTCTGTCAGCCCCGCAAAGCGCATGCGCTGCACTCTGAAGTCAAACAGTCCTGACTAGTGCCAAGCCGGCACTATAGGGGGATTTTCAGGCCCTGAATAGTAGTGCCGGTTTGGCACTATTCAGGCACAATTCTGAATAGTGTTGGTGCCCGGTATAGTGCCGGTCAAATCGCCTAGACACATAGCGGCACTATATCGGGACACCTACTGTATTGCCAATGGCGGGAAGTCCACTGTGGGGATGAATGCCGTACGTACATGCATGGACGTAAACTCAGGCGATACCTCATTCGGCGGCAATTGCGGCGGAATAAGTTACTACGTACGGTGCTCGAGAGAAATACGGTATGTACAACGTTTTCTCCGACGGTTGACCCTGTAGGTTTGACGTATAAAAAGAAGTACACCGAGGGTTTGCGCTTTCACCACCACCATTGATTTTCATGTCCTATGGTCTTCTCTCTCGCAGCATAAAATTAACAATCGAAGCCAAAAGCACCGCAGGAGGGGTATGGGGAGGGGACCTCAGGGAGAGGGGCCCTTCTGTGTCCACCGGTTGGAGAAAACAGCGAAGTTGCTGTAGCGCTGATTTGAAGTGAAGACACAAAAAAAAAAAATGGCCAGACTCGAGAGGTCATACTATGATGGTTTAAGACGGTACTGCTGTGGATTGGCATGTCAAAAAAGGGCTGCCGAATTTTGAATTTTGCGGTTGGTCGGTAACTTCGTACTCAGGACGCGGCGGGTGCATAACATCTCGACGTCAAAACTCACGATGACTCGGACCGGTCCACGTGAAAAGTGGTCGAGGCGAAGAGTCAGCGTGGTTCATGCTAATAATGGTGAGCAAAACTCGTTTCCCGAGAGCCATATACACGACGCCTGGACGTGCATGTGGCCCGGCTTGGCAAACGCTAAGATTTCATTACCACATGTGCTCTTTGACACACGCTGCTGCTGTACATGGGCTACATGGCCACAAGCCCTCATCATGCGGACGTCCCCTATTACCCCGCATGCATGCATCTGAAACTCATGATGACCTGGACCGGTCGATGCAAAGTGGTCGATGCGAAGGTTATACAACAAGAGTACGCGCGTTTCATGCTTATTTATTTATGGTGTGCAAAACATCGGTTTAGGAGAGGTACATGACGCTTGGACGTGCATTTGGCCTGGCTTGGCTAACACTAAGATGTCATGACATGTGCTGTTTGACACACGCTGCTGTACATGTGTGTGGGGTCGTAAGCCGCATGATTGCGGGCACCTTTTCTCTCTCTCTCTGTCTTGGGCCAGTTAGTTGTTATTTATGTATGGTAGATTTTCCCAGATTGGCAAGAGGGCACGTGGATTCAAATACGGGATGCACCCCCCCCCCCCATTTTTCTGGCGTTAATCCAGTTTGGTCAAGGCGTTTATTGTATAGGACTTAGAATGGTTAGAATAAAGCCTATATTTTCCATAATGTATAGGCTTTATTTAGTGTGACATTGTAAAACCCATACATACAACAATAGAGAGGTAAATATGACCACACCATATCCTAGACCTTTCTTTGTAGCCCCTTTTAGCAGCAGCAATCAATCAATGTGTGTGTGTGGTCCTCCTGCAACAGCAAGGAAGGGTATCAGCAAGCAAGCACCCTGTCTGCTGTTCCCTATCGAGAAGACAGGGTTCGCAGCAGCAGCAGCAGCGTCAATGTATAGACTTTTACTACACACTTGTTGTGGGATTACACGGCGTAGCGATCCCTGAAGACCCCGAGGAAGACTCACTTGTTGTTTGTTAATCTCTTGGAACAGCAGTGCTTGCTGTTGCCTTCCTCTCAAAGGTAGACTGAGCACAGAGGGGGAGGAAATGCTCCCTCTAAAAGGGGCCACAAAGAAAGGTTCCTGTCCCCTGTTTTATCCTTCTTCCATCATCGGGAGTTACATTTAATTCCCGCACTTTCCTCCTGGAATTACTCCGCGATACCGTTAGCACTGGCTACATTCAAATCCCATAACACTAGCCCACCCTGGTTCTCATACGCAGATACTTGAAACCTAGGAACTTGACAAATAATTGTCGAATGAATCCCAAAAAAATGAAAGGATCGAGGATGTGGAGCTCAATAATACCAAGAATCACCCTCCCACACCTCTCACACGATGAGTCGCAAGACCACCACCACCATCGTTTGACCCAACCAAAAAGAACGATAGAGAAGGCACTTGGATACTTTTAGTCCTCGCCTCACAGAGACCTGTTCCTTATCGAACCACCGAGGCTGTGCAGTCCACTGCTGTGATCTTTGCGGAGCCAAATTTGGGCAGCTAGAATGGAGTGTGCACAGAGTAGCCTCGGATATATATGAAAGCAAATTCACAATTCCCGGATTGGAATTTCAAATTCCAGTTTGGTATCCATGAGGAATTCTCACGCAGGATCGCGTCCAATATTCCCAGATTGGAATCCTATTTTTCCAAGTATGATGAACACACACTCCACCACAGCTCCCCAAACTTGGCTCCGAGAGGCTCACAGCAATGTAGCCTACAGCCTCGAAGGTTTGATCGCAAACGGGTTTCTGTGAGGCGAGTACTGATTGACAAAGCGCTTTGGTGTGCTTGTCCCACCAAGTGCGCAGAACTCCTGCTGACGCATGGGGGTTTGGATGTAAAAGGCGTAATATCGGGACTCCCACAGTTGGGAATTCTTTCCATGACAAGGGTATTGTTAGAAGTAGTATTGTACAGCAGTGCGGAGCAGACGTCCAGTCCAGTCCACTATTTACCCCGCATCTGATTTCGCGGCGCCACGGTTCTGCCTGTGCAAGCAAATGGCTCCGTACATGCTGGCTCGCCTGTTGCTGCTACCCTTGGCTTTCCTGCCCCCCCACGCACCTGTCTCTCTCTCTCTCTTTCTCTCTCTCTCTCTCTCTCTCTCTCTCTCTCTCTCTCTCTCTCTCTCTCTCTCTCTCTCTCTCTCTCTCTCTCTCTCTCTCTGGGGTACACCATCATGGAGCCCGCTAGCGTGCGTAATTCAGGCGACAACCTAACTCTCGGGCACATTAGTGACATGTATCGCAAGTTTGGAGAGGTACAGGGCATCTTCGACGAGAATCACTACAGGATCTTGACAGATGCCCTGTCTCGCGTCAAGAGGCGGTCCGAGCCGCTATACGACCGACTTTCGAACGTCTACCTCATGGCCGAGAGCGTTCGCAACATGGAGATGACCCGTGGGCAGCTGCGGACGGTACTTGATCGGCATTTGGCGACCTTCGCGACCGAGGTGTGCTTTCGGATTTCAGAACAGCGGTTCAGGTTGCCGCTACATATGTTGTATCGCACGTACTGCTGTGTTGTATGCATGGCACACAGCAAATATTGCACGTCGGCAGTGTTCTGCTATATTTAAAACGGCGCTTTCTCTCTCTCTCTCTCTATCTCTCCATCTCTCTCTATCTCTCTATCTCTCTCTATCTCTCTCATTCTCTCTCTTCGCTCTTGGACAGCACGTGCAGGCGATGGCTATAGCCTGTTTTTTCGGAACTCTCCCGGGGTTCGGTGTAGCGGAAGATACCATCCTCCCTTCCCCTTTCCCAATGCGCAATAGTACTGGGATACGATATACTCTGTAATTATGAGCCGCGGAGGGCGAAGCGCGACCGTTCTTTTCCCTCCTTCCCAGGACACAAAATATCTCCCTGTTCCAACGCGATGCAGCGGCCCAAAGTTTGATTTCCGGGAAGCCTAAATTACCCACCTTTGGGACCAGAACGAGGTCTATATTGTAGGACGATTCACGATCTGTTGGCTTCTTAGCGGGGAGAAAAATAGCGCACTATTCGTCACACCGGTTTGATCGTGCTTCGGCGAGAGATGACCGTGCTTCACAGGCGTTTGTGCCCAAATTCGTAGGAGATTCCTCGCCCTGTTCCGGTCAGGAAGAAAAGCGGGATTCAAAAGCGGAGATCTCAAGCGCGCGAAATTCAAACATTCAAACCAAGGAGAAGAACCAGAGGTATGCATATCGTACCGCTCATAAGCCTCGCACATCCACAAAATCACACCCACCCGCCGTGGTCCAATCCCTTCCATAGGTGAAAGCACAGCAGTAAGAACAGCAGACCTGGTCCCCTCTCTCTGCCTGAACAACAGGGAGGGTCTTGGCGGTTCTGTTCGCCGTTGGAAACATTGATGGGTGAAAACAGATACAATAGATTGATTGAGGTCTTGCCCACAGCAGCAACAACAGCAGCGGAGACCGAAGTTGAGGCGGTTGGTGCTGTTTGACGCAATCGCCATGTGGGGCTCAGAACGATGCAGGAATAATGTATTTCGCTCGATAACAATAGGGCGGGGGATAAGGGAAGCAAACAAACGACGCGGCCCCCAGCAAGCGAACAGACAGAGACTGAGATGTTGGCAGACGGTCCATGCAAGAGAGCGAGCCGGCTCTGTTGGAACTGCCTTACGCCTGCCACTTTCCACCTGCTTTCCACACGGCGCTGCCCGATGGGTTCTTCTTTCTGTGGGTTCTAACCCTGTCTATTGTTCATATTTAGCCGGCGGCAGTCGTGTTAGGTGCCGATCGTTTGGCGGTACTGCTGTAGCGTCGCGTGTGTCACGGCGTGTGTGTGTTCCTTCGCCGTCCGTTGGTGTTGTAGTTGACACCAGCGGGGAGCGGATGCGCAGCCTTGAAAACCGCTCAATATATTCCGTGTACGCATGTATGAAGTGCGCAGGAAGCCTTCATCACACACAGCATCGCAGATCGCAGATACAGACAGCTCGATACACACCACCAGTGCATATATTGAGCCGACCCCGCGGCTCATTACTCCTTCCTATCTAATATATGTTCCATTCTGTAGTAGGTGCCGCCGTTGTTAATAGGGAACTGGTGAGCGAGGGCGTCCAGATAGTGAGGGAAGTCTTTACACATGGGACAGACCAGATCCCTGCAGATCGAGCCAGCTCTTTCGAAGAATACGTCATTTGTCATCGGTAGGAGTAGGCGATCTGTGTATGTGGTTGCCCGAGGTGATGGGAAAGACACAGGTGGTCGGCGTACCGAGTCATAGAAACCAGATAACGCACCCACGTAAGATAAGACACTGCATTCAACACCCGTCGCTAATGGTTTTGGATGGCAAGACGAGGCACCCGGGCTGGCAAGTTGCAAATTCCCACATAATAGTTTTTTTTTATCTTACGATGATGGACGGAGCTCTCATTGCGGCCGCTTTCCTGTACGGACGCCCCGTTATTCCTCAACAACTCCAGCTGTATTAGGAGTGGCGACAACACAATGGCCAACCCCTCACGCTGAAGCTGCAAGCTTCAGTCTCTCCGCCGGAAATACTTTTTTGTGGCAGTGGTACCTTGTCATTCCGATACCCCCACCCTTGCCCGACCGGGTATCGAAAGCCGATCTCGACCTATGGCGCACATCTCGCGACATCTCGACTATGCTTCGTCGACTTGCGGGCGCAGTAGCATTCGCCACACGTGTGCGGCGATGTGCGTCCATGCGCGCTGTTTCTCTCGTCTTCACTGCTTGGCCGTCTTCCAGTCTTGATCGCTATTTTGGGCTTCGCAAACAAATATTTTCGGAAAAAGTTAAATATCAGCGTCCGCTTTGCAGCAACCAACGGCATCATGTCCATTGCGGTGAGTGGTGGGCGTAGTAGATGAATGTAGGTGTGTGGGCCCAGCGAGTTGCCAACGCGACCTAGGAAAATACTTCACGATACGATGAAAGCGCATACGGTGCGCTAATGTGAAGAGGAGTGCGACCACATGTATGGGCGACAATGCGCGTTGCTTCTCTCCTCTTCAATGGTTCGCCGTCTTCCTGTCTTGATCTCTCTCTTTTTTTGTCTTCTCAAACACCGTTCGTTTCGGAAAAAGAAAATCTCAGCGGTCGCGTGATAGCAGCGAACATCATCATGTTCGTTGAGTGGCGATTTACAAATGTCACCATTAAACACTTCCAGAAGTCCTTGTGAAGCTGTTGTCGTGGGAGTGTTCAAGCTTCCATGGAGGTTGCCTGCCAGCCGTGACATGCGCTTATTCCTTGGAAGTTGCTGTCCGTGCTTCCATGATCGAAATTACCTTCGAATTTCGGGGAGGGGTTCGACGGATGAGTTTTCCTTCCATGGAAGAAGTCATCCTTCCATGAAAGAAAGCACTTGGGGCTTTCGTGTTAACGATGCGAGTTCCACGGAGGAAACCATCCGCTGCTTCCATGGAACCTGGTGGTGCCGGAAACAAACACGCGCGTGACGCTTCCTCCATGGACTTCCATGGTTAGGTGTGTGCATCGCTTCCATGGCTAAGCCAATAACACTGCCCATGGAGGGTTGCACACCCTGTACAGCTACGATGCATGTAGTACATTTGTATTTGTTTTGCCAAACAACTACCTGGTCACGACGTTGTGCAACTAGTTGTTTGAAAACAACTACTCGGTCAGAATCTTATGCAACTAGTTGGTCCCATATTAACTACTGTGTCAAAATCTTGTGCAACTTGTTGTTTCCAAACGACTACACGGGTAGAAATTTGCGCAACTAGGTGTTTCCAATCAACTACTGGATACGAGTGCAAAACAACAACTTGTAACATTAAATGGCCAATGGGCCCGCAAAAAGTGTGCAATAGGTGGTGGTTTGTTCCCTCCTGCTAGTGCTGTGAGGCGCCCATAGCTATCAAAATGAGATAGAAATTGTTGAAAATGTTGCGCAAAATGCTGTTTGCCAAAACTACATTATCGGTCAGATTCTTGTGCAACTAGTTGTTTCCAAACAAATACGCTGTCAGAATCTTGTGCAACTATATGCATAGGTTGACTCCAAGACCGAAAATCTTTGGTGACTAGTTGATTCCAATCCACTACGGGATAGTTGAACTCTTCCCAACTATTTGTAATACTTGTTAAGTCATAGTTGTACAGGGTGTGGAAGCTTGTGCCATACCCGTAGGTTGCATAAGATACCACACCCGTGTGATAACATTTTCGGGAGGACGAAAGCTATCACACGGGTGTGGTATTCTGTAGGGGGTGTGATATCTTATGTCACCCGTGTGATAAAGTGTACTCACAGAGTCTCACCAACAGGGGGTGTGATAACAAGGGGGTGTGATACCGTCGCCCGTGTGATGAAGCGCGCTCACAGGACCCGGCTTACAGGGGGTGTGATAACAAGGGGGTGTGATAACTTCGCCCGTGTGATGATACGCGCTCACAGGACCCGGCCTGACGGGGGTGTGATAATGTCGCCCGTGTGGTTGCAGTGCGCCCACAAGACCCTACCTACGGGGGTGTGATAATAATGTCGCTCGAGTGATGCGGTGCGCTTACAGGAGGCACCCACGTACAAAGGGCGTCAAGGGGTGTAAACAGGTGTGATAGCTAGGATGGCTCACACCACTCCATCACGTAAATGCTTTCCCACGTGCATTTTCGCAGTATCCTTTGGAAATTCTTCGCATAGGTACACAACGAAGACGTAGAACCGACACCTCATAGCGGTTGTGCCGGTGTTGTGTGCGACAAAACGACAGCACACAGGTACCTGGACGACGCAACCACTTGCAAGACTTGCATCCAACACTCAAGCTGGAACCACATAGGACGCAAGCAAGTGCCAGCTACGTATCAACCAAAGCTAGAAACCAAGAGGACAAGCGACTACCGAAACATATGAAACCCAGGACAAATTGGCTCGAATAGCAGCTTTGGTTGACTTGACCATGGCATGCAACTACGGTAGGTAGATACCAGACAAGACACCTCAGTCTATGCAAACAACGTCCGCCCCCGGCAAGTCTGCCATGACCTCAACCTCCGAGTCATCGTTGCCTTCGCCATCTCCCGAGCTGTCATCGTCGTCGATTTCCAACACCTCCAACAAGTCGGCCATCGTCTCCCCCTCCTCCGATGGGCCAGCCTCCTCCACGCCGGCAGCGGCCGCATCGCCGTCTGCACGAAGTGGTTTCCCTTGGGCGTCGGAGTTGAGCTCCTTGTTGGCCCACGCCTCGTCCTCAGATCCATCGAAGGCAAGGGTCATGCCAGCCTTCCTCCAGCTCGAACGGATGCTCTCAGGGTCCACTTCATCCCACGCTTTCTTCACCCACTGCGCGAGCAATCCCCTCGATGGGGGATCCGGGTAGCCGCGGTCGTTGCGCACGGCGTCGGTGGAGGCCATGTGGTCATCGTAGAGCCTGGAAATGTTGGACTTGAACAGCTTGTTGATAAGTCCATCGCAAGGCTGGATCTTGGGC